CTTTAAATATTAAAGACTGTCCCCTTTAAATATCCCCACTGTAAATATTAAAGACTGTCCCTTTAAAATATCCTCACTGTAAATATTAAAGACTGTCCCTTTAAATATCCCCACTGTAAATATGAAAGACTGTCCCTTTAAATATCCTCAGAGTAAATATGACAGACTGTCCCTTTAAATATCCTCACTGTAAATATTACAGACCGTCCCTTTAAATATCCCCACTTTAAATATTAAAGACTGTCCCTTTAAATATCCCCACTGTAAATATTAAAGACTGTCCCTTTAAAATATCCTCACTGTAAATATTAAAGACTGTCCCTTTAAATATCACCACTGTAAATATTAAAGACTGTCCCTTTAAAATATCCTCACTGTAAATATTGAACTGTCCCTTTAAATATCCTCACTGTAAATATTAAACTGTCCCTTTAAATATCATCACTATAAATATTAAACTGTCCCTTTAAATATCCACACTGTAAATATTATAGACCGTCCCTTTAAATATCCTCACTGTAAATATTACAGACCGTCCCTTTAAATATCCACACTGTAAATATTAAACTGTCCCTTTAAATATCCTCACTGTAAATATTACAGACCGTCCCTTTAAATATCCACACTGTAAATATTAAACTGTCCCTTTAAATATCCTCACTGTAAATATTAAACTGTCCCTTTAAATATCCACACTGTAAATATTAAACTGTCCCTTTAAAATATCCTCACTGTAAATATTAAACTTTCCCTTTAAATATCCTCACTGCAAATATTAAACTGTCCCTTTAAATATCCTCACTGTAAATATTACAGACCGTCCCTTTAAATATCCTCACTGTAAATATTAAACTGTCCATTTAAATATCCTCACTGTAAATATTAAACTGTCCCTTTAAATATCCTCACTGTAAATATTAAACAGTCCCTTTAAATATCCTCACTGTAAATATTAAACTGTCCCTTTAAATATCCTCACTGTAAATATTACAGACCGTCCCTTTAATATCCCCACTGTAAATATTAAAGACTGTCCCTTTAAATATACTCACTGTAAATATTAAAGACTGTCCCTTTAAATATCCTCACTGTAAATATTACAGACCGTCCCTTTAAATATCCTCACTGTAAATATTAAACTGTCCATTTAAATATCCTCACTGTAAATATTAAACTGTCCCTTTAAATATCCTCACTGTAAATATTAAACAGTCCCTTTAAATATCCTCACTGTAAATATTAAACTGTCCCTTTAAATATCCTCACTGTAAATATTACAGACCGTCCCTTTAAATATCCCCACTGTAAATATTAAAGACTGTCCCTTTAAATATACTCACTGTAAATATTAAAGACTGTCCCTTTAAATATCCCCACTGTAAATATTAAAGACTGTCCCTTTAAATATCCTCACTGTAAATATTAAACTGTCCCTTTAAATATCCTCACTGTAAATATTACAGACCGTCCCTTTAAATATCCTCACTGTAAATATTAAACTGTCCCTTTAAATATCCTCACTGTAAATATTAAACTGTCCCTTTAAATACCCACAATGTAAATATTACAGACCGTCCCTTTAAATATCCCCACTGTAAATATTAAAGACTGTCCCTTTATATATCCTCACTGTAAATATTAAACTGTCCTTTAAATATCCTCACTGTAAATATTAAACTGTCCCTTTAAATATCCTCACTGTAAATATTAAAGACTGTCCCTTTAAATATCCTCACTGTAAATATTACAGACCGTCCCTTTAAATATCCACACTGTAAATATTACAGACCTTCCCTTTAAATATCCACACTGTAAATATTAAACTGTCCCTTTAAATATCCTCACTGTAAATATTACAGACCGTCCCTTTAAATATCCACACTGTAAATATTAAACTGTCCCTTTAAATATCCTCACTGTAAATATTAAACTGTCCCTTTAAATATCCCTAGAGTAAATATGACAGACCATCCCTTTAAATATCCCTAGAGTAAATATGACAGACCGTCCCTTTAAATATCCACACTGTAAATATTACAGACCGTCCCTTTAAATATCCTCACTGTAAATATTACAGACAGTCCCTTTAAATATCCACACTGTAAATATTAAACTGTCCCTTTAAATATCCTCACTGTAAATATTAAACCGTCCCTTTAAATATCCTCACTGTAAATATTAAACTGTCCCTTTAAATATCATCACTATAAATATTAAACTGTCCCTTTAAATATCCTCACTGTAAATATTAAACTGTCCCTTTAAATATCCTCACTGTAAATATTAAAGACTGTCCCTTTAAATATCCTCACTGTAAATATTACAGACCGTCCCTTTAAATATCCACACTGTAAATATTACAGACCGTCCCTTTAAATATCCTCACTGTAAATATTAAACTGTCCCTTTAAATATCCTCACTGTAAATATTAAACAGTCCCTTTAAATATCCACACTGTAAATAAGACAGATTGTCCCTTTAAATATCCTCACTGTAAATATTATAGACTGTCCCTTTAAAATATCCTCACTGTAAATATTACAGACCGTCCCTTTAAATATCCTCACTGTAAATATTAAACTGTCCATTTAAATATCCTCACTATAAATATTAAACTGTCCCTTTAAATATCCTCACTGTAAATATGAAACAGTCCCTTTAAATATCCACACTGTAAATAAGACAGATTGTCCCTTTAAATATCCTCACTGTAAATATTAAACTGTCCCTTTAAATATCCACAATGTAAATATTAAACTGTCCCTTTAAATATCCCCAGAGTAAATATGACAGACTGTCCCTTTAAATATCCCCACTGTAAATATTACAGACTGTCCCTTTAAATATCCCCACTTTAAATATTAAAGACTGTCCCTTTAAATATCCCCACTGTAAATATTAAAGACTGTCCCTTTAAAATATCCTCACTGTAAATATTAAACTGTCCCTTTAAATATCCTCACTGTAAATATTAAACTGTCCCTTTAAATATCCTCACTGTAAATATTAAACTGTCCCTTTAAATATCCTCACTGTAAATATTAAACATTCCCTTTAAATATCCACACTGTAAATAAGACAGATTGTCCCTTTAAATATCCTCACTGTAAATATTAAACTGTCCCTTTAAATATCCACAATGTAAATATTAAACTGTCCCTTTAAATATCCCCAGAGTAAATATGACAGACTGTCCCTTTAAATATCCTCACTGTAAATATTACAGACCGTCCCTTTAAATATCCCCACTTTAAATATTAAAGACTGTACCTTTAAATATCCCCACTGTAAATATTAAAGACTGTCCCTTTAAATATCCTCACTGTAAATATTAAAGACTGTCCCTTTAAATATCCCCACTGTAAATATTAAAGACTGTCCCTTTAAAATATCCTCACTGTAAATATTAAAGACTGTCCCTTTAAATATCCTCACTGTAAATATTAAAGACTGTCCCTTTAAATATCCTCACTGTAAATATTAAAGACTGTCTCTTTAAATATCCTCACTGTAAATATTAAACTGTCCCTTTAAATATCCACAATGTAAATATTAAACTGTCCCTTTAAATATCCTCACTGTAAATATTAAAGACTGTCCCTTTAAATATCCTCACTGTAAATATTAAAGACTGTCCCTTTAAATATCCTCACTGTAAATATTAAAGACTGTCCCTTTAAATATCCCCACTGTAAATATTAAAGACTGTCCCTTTAAAATATCCCCACTGTAAATATTAAAGACTGTCCCTTTAAAATATCCTCACTGTAAATATTAAAGACTGTCTCTTTAAATCCTTTATATATTTTAGGTAGAAACACAGTACATCACAGGTATTGTCTCTGAGTAATGTGTGTGTGTGTGTGTGTGTGTGTGTGTGTGTGTGTGTGTGTGTGTGTGTGTGTGTGTGTGTGTGTGTGTGTGTGTGTGTGTGTGTGTGTGTGTGTGTGTGTGTGTGTGTGTGTGGTGTGTGTGTGTGTGTGTGTGTGTGTGTGTGTGCAGGGTATTCAGTGACCCAGGCTCGTGGTCTCCTCTCACAGGAAGATGAAACGATAGTAACAGGTGACTCACTCTTATAGTACTTATTTGTGTACTTCAGGAGTCCCTAAATACAGTAGGATATTACAGTGTTGCTGTGTGTACTTCAGGAGCCCCTAAGGACATTAGGATATTACAGTGTTGCTGTGTGTACTTCAGGAGCCCCTAAGGACAGTATGATATTACAATAGCCTCATCCCAATACCTCTCCTCGACTCCTCTCTTCCCCTCCTCCGGGACTTGACCCGGAAATCGATCAAGACACGCCATTTTGAAGGACGTCCCAATAGCTGAAATGCACACGGAGGAGTCGAGGAGGGGTGACGGAGGAGGGGTGAGGGAGGAGGGGTGAGGGGTAAGGGAGGAGGGGTGAGTGAGGAGGGGTGAGGGGTAAGGGAGGAGGGGTAAGGGGTAAGGGGTAAGGGAGGAGGGGTAAGGGGTAAGGGAGGAGGGGTAAGGGAGGAGACGAAAGGGAGGATACACGCAAGCAGACTACACGGAAGTGTTTTCACCACTCGCGTATAAAAGCCCCGAGTAGTTATAATGATGCTGTTTCAATCACATTAGTATGCAAGAAAAGTGACAGGTGGTGTGACAGGTCACACCTCTCCCTACTTATGTTAATGAGCTAAGTCCCGCCTCCCTTTGTTCGCGGTGGATGTCCCACCTAGGTGTGAATTCACACGTAGGTGTGAGATCCTTTGATGTGAGGGGTGAGGTATCATCACACGTAGGTGTGAAATGCCCCCCTGTGTAGTCCCTTTGTTAGAGATCCTTTTGTGTCATGTGAAAAGCCCCGGGCTAGCGCCTTTGTTGTCTAATTATTTGATGTGTTGATTAAGTCTCTTTATGCTGTCTGGCCCCTGTCCCCTCAGAGTTGTATAATCTAATTATGAAGTCTAATCTATGAGGTGTTATAACAGGCCGGTGTGACTTCACACTGGTGTGTTATAAGCCTCTGATGTTAATTTAGGTGTTGATTAAAGCAGTCTCTTTATGCTGTCTGGCCCCTGTCCCCTCAGAGTTGTATAATCTAATTATGAAGTCTAATCTATGAGGTGTTATAAACCCTCTGATGTTAATTTAGGTGTCTCTTGAAGTTAGGTGAGACTGTCTACCAGCCCCATCCTAGCCTCTCCCCCCCTTCCGGGCTATGATAGATTGGATAGTGGTGGTCCAATGGATAGTGAGGTGGGCTGAAGATCGGAAGGTTGTGAGTTCAAATCCCGCCAGGAACACCACCACTAGTGTGCCCTTGAGTAAGGCACTTAGTCCTTAGTTACTCCAGGGAGAATGTCCCTGTGATTGGTAATTGTAAGTCGCTTTGGATAAAAGCGTCAGCTAAATGAAATGTAATGTAATGTAATGTAATATGACGCAGGCAGATAGTGGGGGGTGGAATTAGGTAGAAATATGCGCAAACTAAATAAAAAGACAGCAATTCCATTCACCTTTTCAAAAAAGAAAAATGGCCAAGAGACGCCTCGAATGGGGGTTAATCAGTCAGCTTACCGCATCCGTCCGGAGCGTCAGTCAAGAAACGAATGCAGCAGCAGCAATGCGGGGGTCTCTGTGCACAAACTTATCTCACGCCTCTTTTGGTCATGTGCACGTTCATGTGTGTTGGAGGAGGGGCTCTGTGAGGAAGTGGCAGATTTTCCCCGGTTTGACTGCAAAATTCTCCAAATTATCTAACCCTTACCTTTAAGAACAATTCACACACACACACACACACACACACACACACACACACACACACACATACACAACCAGATGTGGGAGGTTGAGATAGCCTGGGTGTAAATGTTAATTAAGACAGTCTCTGTGAGAGGAATGAAGTTAGTCTTTAAAAAAGAAATAAACTCAAATTAAATAAAAACAGCCATTAATGTTCACTCACCAAGACATCTAAAACGTTATTATCCTCTCTAGATTTGATTCAGGGTTTGTTTTAAATGGTGTGTGCTGGCTAAGGATGTTTCTTTTCAAGTTTTTGTGAAACTGCTAAAGAAGTATCTGTTTTGCAAAGAGGTTATTTTCAAAAGATCTTATTTAGTTTTTTAATAGTGATACCTAAGGATATTCTCTTTTAGTATATGGATTTGTGAACTAATGTGTAATTACCTTTATTAACTATAATTGCACAGGATCATTCTAAGAAGAGTGAGAGGGCTAATGAGCCAGCACTATACCTCCTCTATGCATTTTCTTGACCTGTATCTGATCTTGAAAAACTTGACTCTTTTAAAAAAAGTTATTTTTCATCCATCATTTTCAACCATGCAGCAAGAGATCAAGGCTGCCTGTCGAAGACACCAACAGATTTATTATAAATGTTTCGTTTACAATACTATTACTATATATGAAAGCAAAAAATAAAACACATTTTCATTTTTGTAATGTGTTTTTTATGAAAATGTGTTTTATTTTTTGCTTTCATATATAGTAATAGTATTGTAAACGAAACATTTATAATAAATCTGTTGGTGTCTTCGACAGGCAGCCTGCAGTCCGTCACCCCCGACCCTCAGTATGTGCATTAAAGAATGGGCAAAGATTACGGCTTTTTTCGGTTTTCTAACCTCCATTATGCGTCTAAAAAGAGTTGGTTTTACTGAGGCACCATTTTAGCACGTATTGGATGTGCTGTGGTGCTGGTCAGTCAGAGTGGAATAGGCCTGCGTCATGGGTTCACACCAACGCCATAAAGGAGTCTTTGTCATTGATGAGCGAGGTCATCTCTCTCCTCCACTGGCCAATAAACTTTCACATTCTCCACTTTTTTATGATTTTGTTTAGCTCACGGACCCCAAACAAAAGTGCAAAGAATTGAATTATTCGCAGGGAAATGAATAAAGGATTAATTTGCATTGATTTTGCTCCACCACAAATGGAGTCATTTTCTTGACCATAAGGACTTGAGAGCAAACCAACAAATTGAACAAAAAGATCAATGGTATCTTTTAATATGGCTATCCAGAAAGAAATCTCCAAATTGACGCTTTGTGTTTAAATAGTTTGAGAGATTTTCCACTTGGTCTGTTGGAATAGACTGACTGGGACTTTTGTGTGAAATGACGCTTTTTGGTCACAAATTGAGAAAACATCAGTCTAAATTTGAATAATTTGGCCTGTAAAGTTTTGGAGAGGTTCTTTATAAATCAAAAACTGATAGAGGAGTCGGTATGTTAATGTGGCGACAAATGTTCCCCTTTCTGCTCTGTGTTGGTCTGTTTGACTTATTCAGCAGCATTCTCCACAGCCTGTGAAAAAGTCTTGTTCTCCTTTTACTCGTGTTTGGTTTGGCTCGAACGGACACAAGCTCAGTTTACACCAAAAGAGGGGAAAAACCTGATTTTATGCCCCATTGTCAGTGGGTATGTTGGTTATTTGCAACCTAAGTGACAAATTGAATGAAGGACAATTGTGTATATAGCACAAGAAGCCCTTTTAACATGTTATAACATTTCCAGTGTTAAGAGTTATTTTGCTTAATAGGGTAGAAAAACACAGAAGATGGTTTTAGCGGAATAAAAAACAGAACATAAAGGATGGACTGATAATAGAGGTTTACATATATTTTGATTCATGCAAGTCAGTTAGCTAGCATTTGTTTTTTATTAATACGTACTTGGCTCCATTATATCCTGTGCAACACATAAACATGTTCACCTTATGTAATAAATTGTAAAACAATGCATGTCATGTGTAAGAAACAGCTGTGAGCGAAACGACAGGACAGGATAATTCAAGGTTAGCAGGAAAATATGAAACGTTTTGCATTCAAACATGATTTCTTTGATACTAAGTCGATTTTTAGATTTCCTTTGCCCTCCACGTTTGATCCTTTGTCTTTACAGTGCCCTCCCTCTGTTTTAAATCCAAGAGCTTGTATGCTGAGGGATGGGGGGGTTGCTCGTTCCATGGAGCGCTACCTTGTTCCAGAGTGCCCAAGAGGCCATATCTGTCATAGCACATTCCAGTGTGCAGGCATTTTGTGATTTTGAGGCTATTTCAGTGAAGCAAGGCTGTTTTGAACATTTGACAGATTTATGCTTAAATTCTCTGATAAAGTTACTGAAAGATACACTTTTGTGTATAAAAGCTGAAAAGTAGATAATGAAGTACTTTGTATTAGTAGATTTGGTTAAGATTCTGACTCTTAATGGTCCTCTCTAAATTTGATTCAGGGTTTGTTTGAAATGATTTGTGTTTTGTGTGTACAGACACACAGAAAAACACTGAAAAACACAAAAAGAAGGACTGTAATACACATGTATCAGACACGCCCCCCTTGCTATAATGAAGACAACAGTTTTTAAATGTAAAAAACCACTTTTTTATTTTTCACACACAAAAATCAAATAGTTATACTGATTGGGAGCAATCCAGTTTTGTTGACATCAATGCTTTATTCTCTTTTCTTGTGTTACTAAGATACTTTAGTTACACTTTAATGGATGCAAACCTTTTTAACCGGGTAAAATATTCATTAATTTGTAAGGAATTCGTTTTCTTTATGTCTCTCTAAAAGGCAAGTTTGTGATTTTAACACTGTTTCGATGAAACACAGCAGTCTTGATAACTTGACATGACTCACATTACTTTTCTAAAATATATGTTTTTTAGAAACGTTACTTTGATTTCTTCATGTTATTTTGAACACATTACTTTTTCATATTTTTCAACATACTGTGATATTTTGTTTTTTTGTCTTTCTCTCTTTTTTCCATTATACTTTACTGAAGGATACACTTTTCTTTTTTAAAAGCTGACCACTATCATGAAAGTACTCTGTTTTATTAGATTCCGTAAAGCATCTGACTCTTAATGGCAGTTTGTGATTTTGAGGCTATTTCAGTGAAACAAGGCTGTTTTTTGAAACATTTGGCAGATTTATGCTTAAATTCTCTGAGAAAGTTACTGAAAGATACACTTTGTGTATAAAAGCTGAAAAGTAGATAATTAAGTACTTTGTATCAGTAGATTTTGTTAAGAATCTGACTCTTAATGGCAGTTTGTGATTTTGAGACTTTTTACAGACTCTCTGCAGATTTATGTGTAATTCTCTCACAAAGGAACAGTAAGTCTCTTACTTTTTTTATATGTATGACAACTTACAACTGGTAGAAAGTTAGGTACTTTTTCTGACCAGATTTTCTTTAAGACTGTGACTCTTAACACACCATCCCCCGAGAGCCAAACATACTCACCCCCTTTTCAACGCCCTCCCCCCGCAGCAGCTCAGGTGTGAAACCCCCATACAGAATGTCAGTCCCTGTGTAAAACTTTTTAGTAACACTCTGCAGATTTGTGTGCAATTCTCTCACAAAGGAACTGTAAGATACACTTTTTATGTATGCAAAACCTTAAACATTTCTGAAAATAAAATACTTTATCTGAATACATTTTCTTTAAAGGCACTTTTTGATTTTAACGCTATTTCAATGGAGCAATCCATTTTGTTGACATTAATGCTTTATTCTCTTTTCTTGTGTTACTAAGATACTTTTAGTTACACATTTTACAAAACAAGTTATGTTTTCTGCTTCTTCATCCTCTGAATTTTCCTCCCCCGTCCCTCTTCCTTCACCCCTCACAACAACAATCAAGGTGGATCTGTGAAATGAAACACCTCTTCCCAAAGCGTGACTTCCCTATTGAGGGCAGTAGGGTCTAAATCGATTGGCCAGATATACTAACATGCAGAACGTTTTGTTTTTTTTGAAAATAACCTCTTTGCAAAACAGATACTTCTTTAGCAGTTTCACAAAAACTTGAAAAGAAACATCCTTAGCCAGCACACACCATTTAAAACAGACCCTGAATCAAATCTAGAGAGGATAATAACGTTTTAGATGTCTTGGTGAGTGAAAATTAATGGCTGTTTTTATTTAATTTGAGTTTATTTCTTTTTTAAAGACTAACTTCATTCCTCTCACAGAGACTGTCTTAATTAACATTTACACCCAGGCTATCTCAACCCCCCACATCTGGTTGTGTGTGTGTGTGTGTGTGTGTGTGTGTGTGTGTGTGTGTGTGTGTGTGTGTGTGTGTGTGAATTGTTCTTAAAGGTAAGGGTTAGATAATTTGGAGAATTTTGCAGTCAAACCGGGGGAAAATCTGCCACTTCCTCACAGAGCCTCCAACACACATGAACGCGCGCATGACCAAAAGAGGCGCGAGATAAGTTTGTGCACAGAGACCCCCGCATTGCTGCTGCTGCATTCGTTTCTTGACTGACGCTCCGGACGGATGCGGTAAGCTGACTGATTAACCCCTATTCGAGGCGTCTCTTGGCCATTTTTCTTTTTTGAAAAGGTGACTGGGTAAATGGAATTGCTGTCTTTTTACAACTCTGAGGGGACAGGGGCCAGACAGCATAAAGAGACTGCTTTAATCAACACCTAAATTAACATCAGAGGCTTATAACACACCGGTGTGAAGTCACACCGGCCTGTTATAACACCTCATAGATTAGACTTCATAATTAGATTATACAACTCTGAGGGGACAGGGGCCAGACAGCATAAAGAGACTTAATCAACACATCAAAGAATTAGACAACAAAGGCGCTAGCCCGGGGCTTTTCACATGACACAAAAGGATCTCTAACAAAGGGACTACACAGGAAGGCATTTCACACCTACGTGTGATGTACCTCACCCCTCACATCAAAGGATCTCACACCTACGTGTGAATTCACACCTAGGTGGGACATCCACCGCGAACAAAGGGAGGCGGGACTTAGCTCATTAACATAAGTAGGGAGAGGTGTGACCTGTCACACCACCTGCCACTTTTCTTGCATACTAATGTGATTGAAACAGCATCATTATAACTACTGCCCCGCCCCCACCTTCACAGCTGGTCCATTTCAACAGAGGAAAACCCACAACTGGAAGATGAGTGGAAAAGCGTCACATAAATGTATAAGTGCTCACAGCTCCGTGGGAATTATTATGTGCAATTCATTTCTAGAAGGCTTTCACATTACTATAATTACATTTTTATTTAAATGTAGGCTACATTTTACACCAAAACGAACACCAAAGCAGGACCAACCATCATACATTGAGTTCCTTGACTAACAAGAGAAAGATTAATTTAAATAAATATTTAACAATAAATGGGCCGGTTCTAAAGGGTTCTTCAGTTAAGCCCGATGAGAGGGGATACAGCTGTGCACATGGCATCATTAACAGACGTCGTTTAAAAGTGACGAGGACATCCCAATTCATACCTGAGGACTCCTCTGTCCCCGCGTCTCCTCCTCGTGTCTCTCGCTCGCATCTTACGGAGGCGGAGCTAAGACGCAAGGAAGGGAGGCGAGTGAGGGAAAGGAGTCGTCGAGGAGGGGTATTGGGATGAGGCTAGTGTTTCTGTGTGTACTTCAGGAGCCCCTAAGGACAGTAGGATATTACAGTGTTTTTGCTGTGTGTACTTCAGGGCCCCCTAAGGACAGTAGGATATTACAGGGTTGTTGCTGTGTGTACTTCAGGGCCCCCAAAGGACAGTAGGATATGACAGTGTTGTTGCTGTGTGTACTTCAGGAGGCCCTAAGGACAGTAGGGTATTACAGGGTTGTTGCTCTGTGTACTTCAGGGGCCCCTAAGGACAGTAGGATATTACAGTGTTGTTGCTGTGTGTACTTCAGGGCCCCCTAAGGACAGTAGGATATTACAGTGTTGTTGCTGTGTGTACTTCAGGGGCCCCTAAGGACAGTAGGATGTTACAGTGTTGCTGTGTGTACTTCATGGGACCCTAAGGACAGTAGGATATTACATTGTTGTTGCTGTGTGTACTTCAGGAGCCCCTAAGGACAGTATGATATTACAGTTTTGTTGCTGTGTGTACTTCAGGAGCCCCTAAGGACAGTATGATATTACAGTGTTTCTGTGCTTACTTCATGGGCCCCTAAGGATAGTAGGATATTACATTGTTGTTGCTGTGTGTACTTCAGGGGCCCCTAAGGACAGTAGGATATTACATTGTTGTTGCTGTGTGTACTTCAGGGGCCCCTAAGGACAGTATGATATTACAGTTTTGTTGCTGTGTGTACTTCAGGAGCCCCTAAGGACAGTATGATATTACAGTGTTTCTGTGCTTACTTCATGGGCCCCTAAGGACAGTAGGATATTACATTGTTGTTGCTGTGTGTACTTCAGGGGCCCCTAAGGACAGTAGGATATTACATTGTTGTTGCTGTGTGTACTTCAGGGGCCCCTAAGGACAGTAGGATATTACATTGTTGTTGCTGTGTGTACTTCAGGGGCCCCTAAGGACAGTAGGATATTACATTGTTGTTGCTGTGTGTACTTCAGGGGCCCCTAAGGACAGTAGGATATTACATTGTTGTTGCTGTGTGTACTTCAGGGGCCCCTAAGGACAGTAGGGAAGACGCCCGCGGCTCCGTGCTTCTGGCAGTGAAGCGCTCTGATAAACTGCTGACTCAGCAGACGCTGCGTGGCCATCAGACCGGATCCTTTTACGGGAACGCCGTCGCCACCGCGGACATCAACAATGACGGGTAACTGTGTACAAATATATATATAATCATATTTAAATATATATATAATATAATATATATGTTATATAGCATGCACTTCCTGCAGGGTTGTGTTGTTGCTCAGTAGGCTATCTTGTTGTTATTGATGATGTGTTGCCCACTAGCAGGGACTCAGAGGGGGGGGGGGGGGGTTTAATGGGATGTTCTGGTCCGTATAGACTCAAAGGGGGGGATATATATGATATATTATGATATTTGTAGTGACCACGATATCCATTTGTTTTTCGTCCTTTGTTTGTGATTCACTCGTGCTGACCAACGAATAGACGCTTGTAGTTTGAGAGACAAAATATAAATTTCCAGATGCGATTGAAAAGTCAGATAGTTTATTCCAAAAAAGGCAAAAATAAATAAACGTTTTTAAACAAACTATTTGTCCTATAAACTGATATTTCAATGTTAAAGCAGAAGAACCAAGCTGTGACGCTCCCAACCAGCAAGGTCTAAAAACGGTTTGCTTCAGTCAGCCACACCAGTAGGCTGCAGCACCTCGACCTGCAGAGTAACGCACTCAAATTAAATAATAAATAATATAGGCCTACACCACAGAATCTCAGGTTATGTACTGTAAACAGATAAGATACTACAATCTAAGGAAATGGCTCCTAAAATATTATATGATCAATGATGTGATTGATGATGTGATATGAATGATAAGTGCGACACGTCGGCGTCTTTCCTGCAACGGCAGCTCTTCTGTATTTCCTTTCTCCTGTAAGATGACTTGATCGCTTTAAACTCCGCACACTGAGCTCTGATTGGTCAGCACTGAGTTGATCTCTTAGCCTGCAACCCAACCTGCTCCGGAGCAGGTGTAACGGGTCTCAACCGTAAGCGACCTGTGAAAGAAAAGTCAGAAAGTGTTGTCATGTAAACAAAGAAAATGACGCAGATCGCGTCTATTTCCCGCCAAAACCACACCGTAAAAATCACTGAAAAATACAATTTCTTAAGGTGGAAACTTAACAAAAACGGGTTAGTAATATACCCAAATTGACACTTAACAACATACATCACTTTCATAAACTTAAACAGCCGGTTTAACACACACAATTGTAATGAACTAGAACACAAATCCTAGCACAGCTTACCCTCAGCAGTGCTCACTGTCACTACCCGATCCGTCCCCCTCAGTGTTGCCAACTCCATAGTAAGGAAAGTAGCTATTGGCTGTCCGAAAAGTCGCCAGAAGTCACTAAATGACGTCATGGCCTAATTTGCATATCATGTAATGGCGGCTGTAGGCAAAAAACGTTCCCAACCCTTCAAGGATCAAAACTTGAAACCACCGGAGTTAAATCCAGACGACAGTAGATCAGAAATGTCTTTGCCTTTTGAGTATGTTTTGGGGTTTTAACATGACAGTTTGGCATAGAAATCCCCCTTACAATAAAGGCAGTATGCCCGTGTGTCATCTCCAATAAATGGCTTCAACCATCTTTTATACTCAGGGTTTGATTCCCACTCCTTTCTGTATTTTTGAGAATACAATTTACACTGTGTCATGATGTTTAGCTTGTCACAGAGAGGCACACACACAGTGGACTGATTGAGTGACTGAGGCTGTGTGAGGCAAAGCAAAGGCAGTTATTTATTTTAGTGTGAAAGTGAGTGAAGAAACATTTACATTCAACATTTAAATCCCGCTCAAAACCAGGACGGCTTGGCAGTTGGCGCATGCGCAATTCATTTGCAGTTTGACGCGGGGGAGTGTGGTTGTCTCCTCTCTGCTCTGACTGCAGCAGCAGCTCTGCTGCGGCCAGGCAACTGTCAGTCTGAGCGCCTGTGAGTACTATGGGAGGGAGGCGGGGCTCACGGCAGCACCCGCGGCTCGTTAACTGCAGAACAATGTGAGTCTCCAAACACCAGAAAAGTCGCTAATAACACCATTATAAATCGCTAGATTAGTCGTTAGTCGCTTTTGACACAAATAAGTCGCCGGAGGGTTTGGAAATCCGCCAAATTTAACGAGAAAATCGCCAAGTTGGCAACACTGGTCCCCCTGCCCGATCGGTACTGCGCATGTGCGAGATGGTCCGTCATATTGGACAACTCCGGACGGCAACCCAAGATGGACACTTAACACAGTGCTTTTAGCAAAGCTCAAAAAGAAAACTCGAGAGAGATGAGTTATTGTTATTACAACGTGACTTCACTATTATTTAACAACTCTTTTTATTGGGTTATTTTATTTGGGGTTAAGTACACTGTCAGAATAAGTGAGAAATGAATGTAACTTCTGTTAGACAGCCATATGCCATACATGTTTGCATACATTCAGTCAATATTTATTCAGTATGATAGCTGTCTAACAGAACAGAACCCTAACTTTTTCAAGAGACGTCTGTAACTCGTTGGATATTTTTTTTTAAACTAAATAAACTACCCAGTATGAACGTTTGTATAGCCCTTATTAAAAACATTAGTTCCTCAAGTTGTAAAAATGTGCTAATAACGTTATTCTGAGAGTTATTTCCCTCGGCATTATGAACGCGCATCTAACCCACGGGACCGCGCCGCCCGGCACGTTCATGTTACATGAGATTCTCTTTACCCATGGATGCACAATAACAACGGACCATATCGCCTTACTGCCAGCCCACGGAGCTGTAATAATGGATATTGCACATGTTTGCTGTAATTCATCATTTGTAAAATATTATACTACATGGGCTGTATGATGTACATCTTGTACCGTAAATGTTGTATTAAATAAAGTTAATATTACCGACGTAGATTAACGTTCCTGTAGCTTCTTATTGCACTTGCAATTGTTTTAGTTACTTGTGGGCTAACATGAATAATCACAGTTACTATCCTTTTACTCCATCACATTTCAAACAGAAATAGGCTATTGTTATTTTAACTCCACCACAGTAATCCATCATCAGCTTTACTTTTTAGATAAAGTTTTAACTCACAATTGATCATAACAGGCTTCAACATATACATTTTTATATATTACCAAGTGGTTTCATGTACAACCCACACAAGTATCATGCTAAATGCTCTGTTGCTTGGATATCACTAGATCCTGATGTCAGCGTAATATAAAAGTACATAACGATTGATGTGTAACTTAGCATCATTTACTAGCTAGCCGCGAGCTGCTAACTGCCGCCTCGTTAATATAAATCCAGTACCATGCTGTCATGAACGCGCGGTGCTGTTACGTGTACGCAAATTCACGTGCTTAATGTGAACGAGCCTTTTGGGTGGCGTGGTTAAAGTTGCGCATGCTCGATGAGTGCACATACGGGTACTTCTCAGGCATGCTGGGTAATCTGTGACGTTTCACTCTCTCAAAAGTTGGGCCATTTTGTCTTCATGCGCCAATGAGCAACTCTCATAGGAATGAATGAGGCCCCGCCTCCCACGCTGTATCCAGTTCTTATTATACATCCATGGTAGTGACAGTGACAGTGACACTCACTTCAATGTGAGGGGAAAGCGGAAATGACATGGAGGAAGTAGAAAACGATGTGCAACGGGAAAGTGTTCCCACTAGAAACAATACATACAAATATTAAAAGGAAACAATCTCATTGAAATACAATTCACAACCTATTGTAAATCGTAATTTATAACTAATAATTATGTATACACATTTTTAACTCTGTTACACCGGCTAGCCGCTCAGCATCAGTTACCATGGAGATCTAGCCCGCTAAAAAGAGAACCAGCGTCGTAGGACCGGAAACCCAGAGTTGTCCCTGAAGTTACCTCGCTAAGAGAACATCCGGCTTCGTAGTACAAATCAAATCAAGTTTTATTTATATACCACATTTTTAAACGATTTTAGGTGGAGCCAAAGTGCTGTACGTATAATAAAAAATAGCCTACAGTAAAGACACTTTACAGCAAATACAACAGCACAGTTTGTGCAGAATATCAGTATGAGGAAAACGACACCCTCTGTCCTTAGACCCTCACATCCTAGTACAGGCCTCAGGTGGTTGTGTTGTTGATGATTGTTGTTGTTGTTGTTGTTGTTGTTGTCCCAGATGGAGTGACCTGCTGGTCGGCGCCCCCTACTTCTTCCAGAGAGACCCCGAGGTGGGGGGGGCTGTCTACGTGTACCTGAACAGAGGGGGGGGGTTTGATCCAGAGCCCAGCCTCGTGCTGATTGGTCCTCAGGGCTCAGGGTTCGGGATCTCAGTGAGCAGCGCCGGAGACCTGGACCAGGACGGGTTCACAGGTGAGGGGGTGATTATAGAGGGGGGGTTCACAGGTGAGGGGGGGAGGGGGAGTACAGGTGAGGCGGGGATTTTAGACGGGGGGCTACAGCTGGGGGGGCATTCACAGATAAGGTGGGGGTACAGGTGTGGGGGGGACAAATAATGATGATATATGATTTATTTATTTATAGAAGGACCATGCATACAAAAACATTAATCTCAGCAAAGAGAAGAGATGCAATATGCCAGATTATAGCTAACAGCTCATTTCCATCTGTGGTCCTCAGACAGGTTCATAACAATCAATGTTTATTGATTGTTAAACAATTTGAAAACCTGATTTAAGTACAGCTCAATAAATTAATACATAGTACACTTGAAGTACACTTACATGATCTCGGTCACTCAAATAATTACAAAGCCTGATTTAAATACAGGTTACGAACATAATACTTAGTACACTTCAAATACACTTAAATAAAATATCTAAGATATAGTATGACGATACAGTTCAAATTAAAACAACTCAGATTACAGTGTAATTAATGTTGGCATGACTGGTTGCTTAATATCATTCTTTGCACCATTGGAAAACGAGTTAAAGTCAGTTCAGGTTTTAAGTTCAGCTGGAAGAGTGTTCCAGTGCTTGATGGCCGTGAACCAAAATGCTGATGGTCCAAAGGCAGTGCGCCTCAGAGGAAGGTCAGATCTGCATTTGATGCAGATCTGGAGTTTCTGCAACTCTGCTCACGGCGAAGCTGAAAAAAGCCCCTCAGCGGTGGTATTGTAGAATTGTGAATGATTCTGAATACCAGTCGAACTCGGGAAAGTAGAACAAGACTATCAAAACTGAACAGTTTTGTATTTGGACAGTATATTGCAATGATGGTGTTTTAATGACTTTCTATCCATAACTTTGAAGGCTTGTTTATAAAGACCCTCAAGTGGTCTCGTATAAAGAACCTCAAGTGGTCTCGTATAAAGACCCTCAAGTGGTCTCGTATAAAGAACCTCAAGTGGTCTCGTATAAAGACCCTCAAGTGGTCTCGTATAAAGACCCTCAAGTGGTCTCGTATAAAGACCCTCAAGTGGTCTCGTATAAAGAACCTCAAGTGGACTCGTATAAAGACCCTCAAGTGGTCTCGTATAAAGACCCTCAAGTGGTCTCGTATAAAGACCCTCAAGTGGTCTCGTATAAAGAACCTCAAGTGGTCTCGTATAAAGACCCTCAAGTGGTCTCGTATAAAGAACCTCAAGTGGACTCGTATAAAGACCCTCAAGTGGTCTCGTATAAAGACCCTCAAGTGGTCTCGTATAAAGACCCTCAAGTGGTCTCGTATAAAGAACCTCAAGTGGTCTCGTATAAAGACCCTCAAGTGGTCTCGTATAAAGAACCTCAAGTGGTCTCGTATAAAGAACCTCAAGTGGTCTCGTATAAAGACCTTCACGTGGTCTCATAGCAGTCTAGTTGCTTGGGACCAGCAGGTTATACAGTAGTGAACATGTGATAGTATCATGTGGTCTCACATAAAGACCCTCACGTGGTCTCATATAAAGACCCTCACGTGGTCTCATATAAAGACCCTCACGTGGTCTCATATAAAGACCCTCACGTGGTCTCATAGCAGTCTAGTTGCTTGGGACCAGCAGGTTATCAGGTTAGTAGTGAACATGTTTTCGATGCTTCTATGGTTAATGAGTTCCTAATGTTTACATTTGAAAATGTTATATTTCAGCTTTCCAGTCTGAAATATAACATTTGATGATGATGATGATGATATGTGATGATGATGATATATACTGATGATATTTGATGGGTTTCTCTCTGGTTCAGACTTCGCAGTCGGAGCTCCTTTCCACGGAACAGGAAGTGTGATGATCTTCAGCGGCAGCAGGGGGGGGGTCTCCTCAGAGCCCCGACAGGTAACTCACCTGCAGAACACCTGAACAGGCTAATAGGCTAACAATAGAATAGAATATATCTTTATTGTCATCATACAAAGTACAACGACATTTATTTGGCAACTCTCACTGTTAAGTTAACAGGCTAACAGGCTAGTAGTTAAAGGCTATCAGCTAACACACTAAAAGCTAACACATTAAAAGCTAAAGGCTAACCGGCTAACTCACTAAAAGCTAACAGGCTCCTCCCCCCCAGGTGATCCAGGGCAGCAGCGTGTCTCCGGGGTTCAGGACGTTTGGTTACTCTCTCTCTGGAGGACAGGATGTGGATGGGAACAGATACCCTGACCTGCTGGTGGGATCTCTGGACGACCAGGTGGCTCTGCTCAGGTAACCTCACCATCATTACCTGGTAACTAGGAACAGATACCCTGACCTGCTGGGGGGTCTCTGGACGACCAGGCGGCTCTGCTCAGGTAACCTCACCATCATTACCTGGTAATTGGGAACAGATACCCTGACCTGCTGGGGGGTCTCTGGACGACCAGGTGGCTCTGCTCAGGTAACCTCACCTCACCATCATTACCTGGTAACTGGGAACAGATACCCTGACCTGCTGGGGGGTCTCTGGACAACCAGGTGGCTGTGCTCAGGTAACCTCACCATCATTACCTGGTAACTGGGAACAGATACCCTGACCTGCTGGGGGGTCTCTGGACAACCAGGTGGCTCTGCTCAGGTAACCTCACCATCATTACCTGGTAACTAGGAACAGATACCCTGACCTGCTGGGGGGTCTCTGGACAACCAGGTGGCTCTGCTCAGGTAAGCTCACCATCATTACCTGGTAACTGGGAACAGATACCCTGACCTGCTGGGGGGTCTCTGGACGACCAGGCGGCTCTGCTCAGGTAACCTCACCATCATTACCTGGTAACTGGGAACAGATACCCTGACCTGCTGGGGTGTCTCTGGACAACCAGGTGGCTCTGCTCAGGTAACCTCACCATCATTACCTGGTAACTGAGAACAGATACCCTGACCTGCTGGGGGGTCTCTGGACGACCAGGTGGCTGTGCTCAAGTAACCTCACCATCATTACCTGGTAACTGGGAACAGATACCCTGACCTGCTGGGGGGTCTCTGGACGACCAGGCGGCTCTGCTCAGGTAACCTCACCATCATTACCTGGTAACTGGGAACAGATACCCTGACCTGCTGGGGGGTCTCTGGACGACCAGGTGGCTGTGCTCAAGTAACCTCACCATCATTACCTGGTAACTGGGAACAGATACCCTGACCTGCTGGGGGGTCTCTGGACAACCAGGTGGCTGTGCTCAAGTAACCTCACCATCATTACCTGGTAACTGGGAACAGATACCCTGACCTGCTGGGGGGTCTCTGGACAACCAGGTAGCTCTGCTCAGGTAACCTCACCATCATTACCTGGTAACTGGGAACAGATACCCTGACCTGCTGGGGGGTCTCTGGACAACCAGGTGTCTCTGCTCAGGTAACCTCACCATCATTACCTGGTAACTGAGAACAGATACCCTGACCTGCTGGGGGGTCTCTGGACGACCAGGTGGCTGTGCTCAGGTAACCTCACCATCATTACCTGGTAACTGGGAACAGATACCCTGACCTGCTGGGGGGTCTCTGGACGACCAGGTGGCTCTGCTCAGGTAACCTCACCTCACCATCATTACCTGGTAACTGGTGTTGCAAGCTGGCTCTGCTGGTAACATAAGGACAACAGTTCCACACCGGAGTTGCCCCAAAACAATCATTTATTTTATGGAACACAGTGGTTACAAACAACAATAAAACAGAACAAAGGAGCGGTGTCCTGCTGCACCGAGCAGGGCAGCTGAGAGAGAGCGAGAGCCTGTTCTGCAGCCCTCTTATATCCTGGAATCAAGTCCCACAGGTGGGTCCCATCACTGCTGATTACAACAAACACACAGGTGACAGCAGCACCACCTGGTGGACAACCACAGGGTTGTCACACTGGGAACAGATACCCTGACCTGCTGGGGGATCTCTGGCGTGGAGATTACATAATTCTGATCCGACACCTGACGCACCACAGAGTAGGGCCCCGCAAATTTTGCCTGAAAAGGGGAAGCAACTAAAGGCAACAAGGCCAGCACTGGATTCCCAGGGCTAAAAGTGGGTTCTCGGTTTTCCTGTCATACAAGGTCTTCATTGTCTGTTGACTTTTCTCCAACTTCACCTGGGCCTGCCTAACCGCTTCAAAGAGACGCCGTTTGAAACCATTTACATACTCCCGCAGGTTGGCTGGTGGATCAGGAATCTCCCAATCCTCTTTTAGTACTGCTAGCGGGCCCCTAACATGGTGACCAAAAACCAGGTCGTTGGGGCTGAAACCAGTGCTAGACTGTACGACCTCCCTTGCCGCCAACAACAACCAAGGCAAACCTTCTTCCCAGTCACGATTCAACTCATTGCAGTATGAACGTAACAAGGACTTCAGTGTTTGGTGGAACCTCTCAAGTGCCCCCTGGCTCTGTGGATGGTAAGCGCTCAAGGTTACATGTTTCACATGAAGTTGTCTCATAATCTGCTTAAATACATGTGAAGTTAGTACCTTGGTCACTCTGAATAACTTTCGGGATACCAAAGATGGAAATAAACTGACTCAGTTTTTTCACCACAGACTTAGCTGTAATGTTCCTCAATGGATAAACCGCAGGATAACGTGTGGACTGACACATCACCGTCAGCAGATATGAACTTTCAGCCTTAGACTTGGGCAATGGGCCAACACAGTCAATCAGCAGACTATCAAAAGGGGAGGACACTGCCGGAATAGGAGACAGAGGCACAGGTTTAATAGTTTGGTTAGGTTTACCCGTTAATTGACAAGTATGACAAGTCTTAATAAAGACAGAAACAGTCTTCTTCAATCTGGGCCAGTAGAAATACCGCAGCACTCTGTTGTATGTCTTCTGCACTCCCAAGTGACCCGCAACATCATCATGAGCTGTTTTCAACACCCCTTCTCTCAGCTTGTCTGGTATGACAAATTGAAATATTGCTTCCCCAACAAAACCCTCACCGTGAGGCGACCATTTCCTTACCAATACCCCCTCTTGTAAGAAATATCCATGGGCTGCACTGATGATTTCCTCAACGGGGCGAACCTGGGACAAGAGCTCCTGCAAAGTTGGATCCTCCTGCTGCTGCTGCTGCTGCTTCGCCAATTCACTACGAGAGACAGACAATGGAACAACAGGTAGCGCCAAAACAATATTCTCAGAAATGACTTTTTTATCTTGTGCTTTATAGGTCTGGGCTTGTGTTACTGCACAAGCTGGAACTACCTTTGTCAGCTTCTTCGCAGGGTCAGCAAGCTCGCCCCTCACTGGCTTAGAGGACACCACTGGTGAAAGATGCACATCAGGCCACACTCTGCCACCAGCCAAATCATTTCCGAGGATGACTGCCACTCCCGGAACAGGCAAAGATGGCCGGACTCCCATGGCAACCTCACCCTGCCGTAAATCACAGGACAACACCAACCGATGCTTTGGAGCAGACAACAACTGCATCCACATTCCCTTGAACCATACAACACTTCCAGTGTCCGTTACCGAGGAAAATGGAAGAACACCCTCAGTTATGTATGAATCGAGAGCACCTGTGTCTTTCAGTATCTTAACAAGGAATATTGTTTCACTTCCTTGCAAAGACACATAACCCTCTCGTATGAAAGGGGCATACCCTGGATCAATTTAATCTGCCAACTGGGAGGGGCGAGGCTTCACCTCTTGCAGGGCTGGTCCGTAGTTAGAAACCGCAGCAGCAACTGGTTGTGGGGTAGTATAGAGTTTAACCGCAGCTATAGCCTCATCCCTAGCAATCTGGTGGGGCCTGGGAAACTGAACATTTTGGAGTCCCTTGGTTTTTGCAAGTACTGAGCATTCCTTTTTCTGGTGTCCTTTACCCAAACAAAAGTAGCAAGTACTTAGATCTACTTTACCTCTGGGGTCACCAGACCAGTTATTTCTGCTCCCCCAGTCAAATCTCTCCCCTGAATGAATCTTGTGTGTTAACGTGTATTCATCAGCTAACACCCCGGCGTCTGTTACATTTTTAACCTTATGCTCATTCAGGTACGTAGCAACGCGTTCTGGAAGGATATCTTTTAATTGTTCAAGAAGGAACAGTTCCCTCAAATCATTAAGATTTACTACTTCGGAAGCCGTGACCCAAATGTCATCGTCAGCTCCCGAACAAGTTCCACATAGGTCTGTCCTTCTGACTTCCTTAACTTCCTGAACTGCTGACGGTAGGCCTCAGGCACCAACTCATAAGCCTTTAGCACTGCAGTCATTACCCTTAAGTAATCTTCACTGTCAGCCGTACTTAATGCAGAAAATGCTGGGGGGTCTCTGGACGACCAGGCGGCTCTGCTCAGGTAACCTCACCATCATTACCTGGTAATTGGGAACAGATACCCTGACCTGCTGGGGGGTCTCTGGACGACCAGGCGGCTTTGCTCAGGTAACCTCACCATCATTACCTGGTAACTGGGAACAGATACCCTGACCTGCTGGGGGGTCTCTGGACGACCAGGCGGCTCTGCTCAGGTAACCTCACCATCATTACCTAGTAACTGGGAACAGATACCCTGACCTGCTGGGGGGTCTCTGGACGACCAGGCGGCTCTGCTCAGGTAACCTCACCATCATTACCTAGTAACTGGGAACAGATACCCTGACCTGCTGGGGGGTCTCTGGACGACCAGGCGGCTCTGCTCAGGTAACCTCACCATCATTACCTGGTAATTGGGAACAGATACCCTGACCTGCTGGGGGGTCTCTGGACGACCAGGCGGCTCTGCTCAGGTAACCTCACCATCATTACCTAGTAACTGGGAACAGATACCCTGACCTGCTGGGGGGTCTCTGGACGACCAGGCGGCTCTGCTCAGGTAACCTCACCATCATTACCTAGTAACTGGGAACAGATACCCTGACCTGCTGGGGGGTCTCTGGACGACCAGGCGGCTCTGCTCAGGTAACCTCACCATCATTACCTGGTAACTAGGAACAGATACCCTGACCTGCTGGGGGGTCTCTGGACGACCAGGCGGCTCTGCTCAGGTAACCTCACCATCATTACCTGGTAATTGGGAACAGATACCCTGACCTGCTGGGGGGTCTCTGGACGACCAGGCGGCTCTGCTCAGGTAACCTCACCATCATTACCTAGTAACTGGGAACAGATACCCTGACCTGCTGGGGGGTCTCTGGACGACCAGGCGGCTCTGCTCAGGTAACCTCACCATCATTACCTGGTAACTAGGAACAGATACCCTGACCTGCTGGGGGGTCTCTGGACGACCAGGCGGCTCTGCTCAGGTAACCTCACCATCATTACCTGGTAACTGGGAACAGATACCTTGACCTGCTGGGGGGTCTCTGGACGACCAGGCGGCTCTGCTCAGGTAACCTCACCATCATTACCTGTCCGGCAGTGTCTCAGTCAGTAGGGACTGGGAGCCGTAGGGACGCCGGTTCAAGTCCCCGAACAGACCTAAATATGGAGTATGGACTGGTAGTTGGAGAGGTCCCAGTGCACATCCTGGGCCCTGCCGTAGTGCCCTTGAGCAAGGCACCAGACCTGGTAACTGTGGTAACTGGTGACTCTGGTAACTGGTAACTGTGGTAACTGGTAACTCTGGTGACTGTGGTAACTGGTGACTGAGGTAACTGGTAACTGTGGTAACTGGTAACTGGTGACTGGTAACTGTGGTAACTGGTAACTGTGGTAACTGTGGTAACTGTGGTAACTGGTAACTCTGGTAACTGTGGTAACTGGTGACTGGTAACTGGTGACTGGTAACTGGTAACTGTGGTAACTGGTGACTGTGGTAACTGGTAACTGTGGTAACTGCTGACTGTGGTAACTGTGGTAACTGGTGACTGGTAACTGTGGTAACTGGTGACTGTGGTAACTGGTAACTGTGGTAACTGCTGACTGTGGTAACTGGTAACTGTGGTAACTGCTGACTGTGGTAACTGGTAACTGTGGTAACTGGTAACTGTGGTAACTGGTAACTGTGGTAACTGCTGACTGTGGTAACTGGTAACTGTGGTAACTGCTGACTGTGGTAACTGGTAACTGTGGTAACTGGTAACTGTGGTAACTGCTGACTGTGGTAACTGGTAACTGTGGTTACTGCTGACTGTGGTAACTGGTAACTGTGGTAACTGCTGACTGTGGTAACTGGTAACTGTGGTAACTGGTAACTGGTAACTCTGGTAACTGTGGTAACTGGTGACTGGTAACTGGTGACTGGTAACTGGTAACTGTGGTAACTGGTGACTGTGGTAACTGGTAACTGTGGTAACTGCTGACTGTGGTAACTGTGGTAACTGGTAACTGTGGTAACTGTGGTAACTGGTAACTCTGGTAACTGTGGTAACTGGTGACTGGTAACTGGTGACTGGTAACTGGTAACTGTGGTAACTGCTGACTGTGGTAACTGTGGTAACTGGTAACTGTGGTAACTGGTAACTCTGGTAACTGTGGTAACTGGTGACTGGTAACTGGTGACTGGTAACTGGTAACTGTGGTAACTGGTAACTGTGGTAATTGGTAACTGTGGTAACTGCTGACTGTGGTAACTGGTAACTGTGGTAACTGCTGACTGTGGTAACTGGTAACTGTGGTAACTGCTGACTGTGGTAACTGGTAACTGTGGTAACTGCTGACTGTGGTAACTGGGGTAACTGGTAACTGTGGTAACTGGTAACTGTGGTAACTGCTGACTGTGGTAACTGGTAACTGTGGTAACTGGTAACTGTGGTAACTGCTGACTGTGGTAACTGGTAACTGTGGTAACTGGTAACTGTGGTAACTGGTAACTGCTGACTGTGGTAACTGTGGTAACTGCTGACTGTGGTAACTGGTAACTGTGGTAACTGCTGACTGTGGTAACTGGGATAACTGGTAACTGTGGTAACTGGTAACTGTGGTAACTGCTGACTGTGGTAACTGGTAACTGTGGTAACTGGTAACTGTGGTAACTGCTGACTGTGGTAACTGGTAACTGTGGTAACTGGTAACTGTGGTAACTGGTAACTGTGGTAACTGCTGACTGTGGTAACTGGTAACTGTGGTAACTGCTGACTGTGGTAACTCGTAACTGTGGTAACTGCTGACTGTGGTAACTGGTAACTGTGGTAACTGGTGACTGTGGTTTCCTCAGGACTCGTCCGGTCCTTCACCTAAACAAAACCATCAGAGTCTCTCCAGATGTTGTCGACCCAAACAACTGTGACTTCTGGTGAGACATGCTAACAGGCTCACATTCTAACAGGCTAACAGCTGACGTGTTAGGAGCTAACATACTGTGTGTGTGTGTGTGTGTGTGTGTGTGTGTGTGTGTGTGTGTGTGTGTGTGTGTGTGTGTGTGTGTGTGTATCAGTATCCAGGTGGAGGTGTGTTTCTCCTACATGTTCAGCACCGGGGAGAGGAGCCACAGAGACAACATCAGTGAGTACCATCCCCCCTGTATGTGATAGCATTGTGATGACAACGCTAACACGCTAACAGGTCTGTTTATGGTCTGCCCCTGTTAATCACCATTACCAGCTTCCTGTGTGTGTGTGTGTGTGTGTGTGTGTGTGTGTGTGTGTGTGTGTGTGTGTGTGTGTGTGTGTGTGTGTGTGTGTGTGTGTGTGTGTGTGTGTGTGTGTGTGTGTGTGTGTGTCAACACACACTCCACACGGGGCATCATCTTTCTCCCATGTGGAGAGGGGGGGCTGGGAGTCCCCAATGTCGAGTGGACCTACATAGCCACCAGGCTAGCCCACCTGATCCACATGCTTAACAATGATGATGTCACCGTAAGAGAAATGGCCAGGGCCTCTCTCCTGCTGGATCTACACAGAAGGAAGACCCCCTGGCCAGCGCAGACCAGAACAACTTCCTCGGCTTCAGGAGGAAAGACTCTGGGAAACTGGACTCTCAGGCCAGGGGCTTCGGGGTCTGACTGGCCAGATCTCAATGACTTCTGCAATCGGACTGGAGTCCAGCTGAAATGGACAAGACTCAGCACACAGACTGAAGTCTCTGATGAACTGATCACAGACCCCAGTGTGGTTGTGAAGGCCGACATCACAACACCTCAGGAAGAGCCTGTGGAACTGCACAGAGACTCTGCAAGGAGGGTTCTGCTCAGCACGAAGCAGTCTGAGATCAGGCAGCACTGGTGTGGACTCAGACTACAGGGAAAGCCTGTTTGGGGTTTGCTGACCACTCTGTCTCACACTCAGTGTTTAAGAACGCCGCTGTTGGTGAGGATGTTCTGACATTTACCATCAAAGCAAGACTGCAGGTATTACCCACTGAGTACAACCTGTCCACCTGGTACCCTTGCATTCACACTCCATTCTGTTTAGACCATCAGGATTCACAACAACACCTAGAATCCATTGCACACATAACAAATGGATGTAATGCATACAGACGCCTGTACATAGCCGTCATGACCGTACTGTGGACATTGTGTCTGATGCGGTACGAAACATCTTACCATCTAGCGCAGCAATGTACAAGCACGCTAGAGAGCTACCAGAATGGTTTGGTTTTACCAATGATGTCTTTGCTAACATCCCAAATACACCTGATGTGGTTTATGTTGACTCCACAGGGAGGTGCTAATGTTAGAAGTAGGCTGTGCCTTTGACCTGTGCATGGACCAGGCTTTCCAGGACAAGTATATCAAATACCAACCACTGCTCGATGTGATAACCAGCTTTGGGTACAAGTGTAGATATAGCATACTTATATTCGGAAGTCTTGGCCATGTATATAAAAGCACCGTGATTGGTCTGAGAGTTGCTGGAATGTCAAAGAGAAAAGCCAAATATTGCTCTGTCTCAGCTGCTATTGGCTGCTTAGCCGTGTGGAGAAGGAGGTGCTATGTGTTCCCTTAAAGCTGCAGCTTAGCCGTGTGGAGAAGGAGGTGCTATGTGTTCCCTGAGTGCTCTGTGCTGCTTAGCCGTGTGGAGAAGGAGGTGCTATGTGTTCCCCT